TGCACGTCACTTCAAAATTAGAACGAAACATGTCAGCAGCAGAAATAGAACCTCGCACGTGTCATCCATTTTTCGTTCGGAAATAGCGGCTTGCCAAAGGTCACCGACTGATGGCACCCCTTAGCCTGTGCTAACGACTGGCTCTCCCTGTGCGTGGACGCAATAGATCTAGCCGAAATGCAAATATGCTAGATAAGCCTAAATCAGCTTGAATCTTAGCCCGTACTTCGTGTAACGTGAACACAACTATTGTTCAAGGCACTTAGCATCGAGACAATGCTGAAGCGTTTGATGTACATGGACATAAACTTGAGTATTTTGCTAATAACCTAAATTTGCATACAGGAAATATAACAGCCACATGCACTCCACTGATGCAAATTCTGAGCATTTGTTTCATAATTGATCCCCGGACTCATATCCTGAAAAAGGCAGTAACTACTCTCTTATGCTTTCATACAAGCTAGAACGTCCTTCTGGCAGATGTATTTGTGCAGTCATCTTAACAAATATCTTCAGAAAGAATTGTTGCCCAAGTAGTTTTACACCGAGAGAAGTAAAATCAACTTTAAAGATTAGCACTAGGAAACAGCTGCACCAAGTGAACTCATTGATAACCACTATCAACATTTCCTTGTTCATACAAGGTTCTGTGATAAAGTCAGTCAGGAAATTTTAGAGTTTGAATAATTAATATTTTACTTTAAATATGTAAATTTATTAATTAAAGTCAGCCTGATTAAAGGATGATTTTGTTAAATTTACATTGAACTGTCGATTAGGTCAAGAGGTCAAATGGAATCCTAAAATGTTGTGAGTTATTGGATCTGCATAGTTATTGGATGATGATACTGGAAATTATTATATTCTAAAGCTCTATAGGGTAAAGTAATAGATGTATATTAATACATAATTTTAAAGTGGTCTTTTTTAATATTAAGTTTTAATATTTCTTTCTCTGTTCATTGTTAATAAAAAAAATAACCTGGTTGAATATATAAGCACATGAACAAATTTCATGCCCAACAAAAGCTTGCTGATAATTTATACATGTATCTACACAATATAGTTACAATGATGTCTTGTCTCCCTGTGGCTTTAAATAATATTCCTGATTAAAAAAAGTTTTAATTATTTAATGGAAAAGAACAAAACCACATGGAAGCTTATCGACGACAAACAAAAAAAGAAAAATTAAAAGTTTTATTCTGTTGAATATAAAACATCAGATCAGAAAACACAGAATTAAATATAGATCCATTAAAAAAAAAACTGTCTAATAAATGTGTTCAAAATGTCAGTAACTTGAGCAGTGCAACTGTATAGACCTATTAAAGAAGATTCCATGTAGAGCTACCTGAGACTATTTGTCCCAGTGTTAATATGATGTGTGTGGGCGATAGCAATAACGCCAAGGGGAATGGTCTGGGTATAGTAGAGCAGGTGCACATGTGACGAAAAGATGTTGCCATTAGACATCATTGAAGTAGTTACGAATAAATGTCATGCATGAGAGTATAATAGACTACTGTAAAATACTTTATTTTAGCTGGTATTAATTTTCACTGAAAAGACTTTTTGGACGTTTTGTACGGAATTTATGATTTTTGACGATTTGAATGAAAGATATAGGGAAAAAAGTATATTCGCTAGGTTTTATTTTCACTGAATAATCCCCTTCAACGAAAATAGCGAAAATAAATTCCAAGCAAAAATAAAGTATTTTACAGTAAGAAGTGACAGAAAAGGAAGAACATTTTTTACAGTATTGTAATTAATATATTTGAAGCACTTCTGTGTTAGGAGTACATGTAAGCTGTAAGACATGGTTCATGTCATGATGCTTCTGAACAGGAAATCATGTTATGTGTAATTGCATGTCAATTGAAAGCTGTTATTACTGTGTTAACCATTAACTGTCGCTAGACATTTTCTTGATTGTGTTCAGTGGACTATTACCAAATCATTGTAACTACCTGTCTGAAAAACCCCAGTGAGATGCACGGCTACAGAATCTAATGATTTACTAGTAAATTAAACATAGTTGGTTCAATATTATTAATTAAGACTTTAGTTTGTTGAAACAACTGTGAAAGAAGTACATATACATGGTACAAGCCATTAGACTGATTGTTAATCCATTGGGGGGGCACAAACAATTATTTTGTTGGTCATTGCCATGGCAACAGCTGGACGGGATTTTTTTTTCATCAAATTTTTCCACCCACCGTAACTAGAGTACAGGTGTGACCAGCCTGTCAATTTTGAACTTAATCGGGTCAGCCAAATAAATCACAGTAAAGTTAACACAGACACTTGGACGTGATTACAGTGATTGTATGGGCAATCCTAGTTTGGAGCAGATCGCCATAGAACATAGAAGTTTGTCCTGAAAATTATTTTCAAGTTACTACAATATTTTTAGACAGGGCTTGAACTTCATGGATGTATACAAAGAAATTGGTTTGAGACCCAAGGAATTATTACAGAAATTCAAAATTACAGATGTCATTCCAATACACCTTGGAAAACAATTGTTATCAAATTTTGTTTTTTCAAATTGGTGTCTACTCAACTCTAAAGTCCAAGATCTGTTTTAGATATACATGCAGTTAGTATGTAAATGAAGTCATTGTTAAACGTAAAATTAAATAATAATTCATGGGAAATATGCACTAAAAAGAAAATTTATTATTACATTTCATTTTTCTAATCTGTGAATTGAGGTCAATGCTGACACTGTGAAACACTATTGGACAGTTTGAATCTGCAAACCTTTTCTGTTGTGAATAATAAGATTTGCATAATCACAAAAAATTAAGTGTTACAAATGCATCTGATTGTATTTATTAATTGAATATATCATGTAAAATATGTTGCCATATAAAGTCATAGGTGAGATTATTTATACATTATTACAGTGTATATGCTAGGGTGTTGTAGTTGATACAGTTGTTGGTATATCAGTAATTGTCTATTTGTTTGGATCAAGTCACCTGATTTCAGAATAGATGCAAAACATATGCAGATATAAATAATATACATGTACTGACTGTAATGAAACTGTATACATCCAGTATAAGCAATTAAATTGATTAAAGAATTACAATTTCAACTCAATTCTGGTTTTCCATGTTTATTTGATGAACCTGATTCTGATTACCCAGTTGTACTTTTGTGAGTGGCAAGTATGTACTCTTTGTTTCTTTTATGGACAAGTGCATGTCTATTGCTTCAAATGCCACTCATCTCATCAAATATTTAGGCATAGATCATGTTGCTATAGCAACCTTTTTTCCTATCAATTTCATCATTCATTTTTAATGTTTTGTTTTTTATGATTGGGATTTATGTGTCTATATTGTCTGTCAGTCTGTGTTGATCATTTGTGTGGTTGAGCCTGATCTGTTAACGAATCCAAAACTTCTAGGTGAATGTAAGGTTTCTGGGCTTATTATTTATTTGTTTTGTATGTTGTTAGTTTACAGAGTTGAATATTAAATGCATTATTTTTATTTCAGGTGAAGTGAAATGGAGGAAGACGATCTGAAGATAAACCATCATCGGGATGGTGTTCCTTTAGAGCCAGTCTACAAAGAATCAGGAAATGATGCGATTGATGGCGATGAAGCAGACTATTTGTACAAACCAAAAAAAAGGAAAAAGAAGAAGAGATCGTTGAAAGATTATCACAAATCACCTCTGAATGAACCCATGAAGGAGACCCCATTCGATTCTCATACTTCTTTGAAAAGGATTGACTATGTCTTAGTGTATGAGAACAAAGAAATTGAAACGCTTGATAAAAAAGAACGGAAAAAATTTGAAAAAAATGAAAAACTCAGGGAGCGATTTGAACAAGTCCTTGTGAATCAAGAACATTTACAAATTGAGAAAGAAAGAGTCGGAGAGGTGACGTTTTTAAAAATTCATTGTCCGTTTCCTAGGATGAGTCAAGAGGCTGAAAGTGTTCATTTAGAAATGCCGCTAAGAGAGGTAAGATGCACTATATAATGTATGGGACTCGTGGTCATTGTAATTGTTATTGTACACCATTATCAAACAATTAATTCTACTGTTCCACACCATTATATCAGACATAGATGGATGGATTTTGTTCAAACATACAATCCTATTATGAGCTTTAATGTGACGCACTGGAATCTAATGCATCATGGGAAACATCCATTCCTGTTGCGATAATCTTAACATGAAACTTAACCCTGCACAGACTTGTGTCATGACTTGTAGTGTGCTGAGCTTCACACAAAACAAACATTTTGTGATAATTTGTTGATTTCTCTAGATTGTATGATATATTTTCCAATGGTTTATGATTAATCATTTTGACATTCAGTCATTATCATTTGAATTTTACCTGGAAAACTGGCTTTGGGTTTTTTTATACAAAAAATGTAATTGCTATATGTAGAATACTGTAATTGCTCTATTTGTTCATTTTATTGTGCATACCCCTACATAAATGAAAGAGGTACTGCTATGGTCAAGCTAAGACATATTTTAATGACCCATTAGCTTATTATAAATGTGCTTCATTATCATTTTTGTCTGGAATACATAGCTTTGGATCATCAACTTATTCATTTATTTGAATATTTTTCAAACAGGATTTACTGTTTTTAATTGATATGGCACCAAGACAGTAGTTATACAAATGAATGCCACATTATAGTGTGCTTACATATGATTACAAAATATTTGAATCTGTCAGTTCATTATTTCAGAAGTGGTTTGGTGATTCCAATTATTTTGTTTTATTTTATAATTGAAGTGTTCAGTATATGTGCCTCATATTATATGAATCACAAGTTTTTAACCACTTCATTTCCAAGTTTACAAGGATCATCAGTTCAACTTGAATAATTTTTAATTTCAGGGTGCTATTCCAGATGATGAAACACATGGCAGCTGTTATAATTACTTTGTCACAGACAATGAACGTAAGTTATTTTTTTCCTTTGTGTACATATAACTGTCATGTTCTTTATAGTAAGTTTTGTTGATTTTCTTTTCTTTTTTTTTTTAATGATGAAGATTAATTGTCATGCAAAAATATTGAAGTAGACATGTTTGTCCCCTTGTGTTTACCTTTTTACCACCAGAATTTCTCACCCAAATTTTTTAGAACTTTTTTCTTATATTTTTCAATGTTTCTGGAAATGAACACTAATTTTGGAGCCAGTTTTCTGTTTTTAATCAAAAAAATGGCTATTTTTGTCTCAATCTTCTGATGAAAGTGCAGACTATAAGTAGGACTATTTTGTGAATTTGTGATGAAAAAAGGAGAACTGGTGGTGAAAAGTTTAATATGTTGGTGGTGCATATACTGTATAATCATTCTTGATTGTATTAACCCAACATTGTTTTAGGCCACAAACTTGGAAACCCAATAACTGAAGGGAAAACATTTATTGCTTCTGTGTACCAAATCACATTGTTGCTGAAGAGGGTACCCAAAATTGATAAAATTGCTGTAGCGCATAGGAATAGTATATAAAGAAAATCTGTATTTTTGAAGGGTGCCCAATTCTTTTGATGCCTCAGTGAAGTTCAAGCCTTGGGTTTTTGATGTTTTCAAGTGTATAGGTATGTTAATGCTGCGGAGAGCATCATGAAGGGAGGTGTATAGCACCCAATATTTTCATTTTTATTAATTTGTTTTGTAACTTGTTATTGTTCATTATTCATTGTAGAGGACTATGTGAGTGCATCATATGAGACTGCTAAAAGACATGTATTTAAAGGTTTTGAGGATCCAGAGACCTTCTTTAGACCAGCTTTGCGTTCCTATTTGGTGAGTATCCCACTGACCAATATTACAATAGGCACTGTATATGAATTTTAGAGTCGCATATTCTGGCACTTTTAAACTGTTCTTGAACAGTGATGTGTGCTTGCACATTTGGAGGAGATAATTTATGATTTTTCATTTATCCTGAATAAGTCCTCCTGAAAGTACCGGTACCAGGATGTGTGACCTTAAGAGGTCATGCAAAGTACCAGTATGTGTGACCTTAAGAGGTCATGCAAAGTACCAGTGTGTGTGACCTTATGAGGTCATGCATGGCCTATATGGATAAGAGCTATCGACCCCAGAAAAAACAACTTTGTTGAAAATCGATCAAATCTATGATCAATAGAGTGTCTCAAACTAAAAAAAAATGTTTCAATTGATTGGAGTCAGGCTATATGAATTATTATATTTAAACATTATCAATATCAGCTTAAATAATCTAATATTTACACTAATATTATTTTTTGTCAAGTTAATTATGATTATTTATTATGAACATATTTAAAAATGCAGAAATTAGAAAAAAAATATCTTATTATTCACGTTAAGTAATATAAAAAAATACAAATGTTGTATAATTATTTCTGCCAAATTTTACAATATTTATCTAAGTTACTGATATGAGACATATTCAGGGAGATTTTTCTGATGTGTGGCAGATTCACATGATAAGTTAGCATTAATCCAGCCTTAAGATAGTAAAATGTGGGTCTCAATAATTTACAGTTATACAGCTTTTATTGTGTTATTCATTATTGCTCAATACATTACCGCTGTAGCAAATTTTATTTACCATAACCACACAAACTACATTTGCTGACTCCAAAAAAAATTATTTATCACGATTCTATTTTATCTCAATTAATCAATGTTCCTAACATTGTATGTCTGATTGTTTGTTAACCTTACAACATGTTTACTCATCTCCCAAGGGACTCGTCAGGCAGTGAAGCGTTACAACAACAAATGAATGAGAAATGCCTGCCTGCATGTCAACCATATAGAGTTTGAAATGCACACAGAATCCATGAATCTATTCCCTTCCTGACTTCCTTGGTGCCCTTTAAATTAGTCTCATAATTAGAAATATTGGCCTTAAATTGGATTCTTTCTTAATACAAGACTTTAACGTCTGCCTTATGTGTGTAGATAGGTCTATCTGATGGCAATTTTTTGAAGCTTACCAGTCATTTCATTACAAAAGCTATAATACATTCAGATTCAAGGTGTGGGGGTGGGGGGCAGTTGATACATAGCTGGGTAGGGAGGTGCTCCAGAGTGCTCAAGAGTGTGACCATTTTTATACCTGGATAGTGGAAAAATCTATACCCATATTTATACCAACATTTCATTTCTGTCATCACTGTTTATTCGAAATATACCAAATCGGAAAAAAATTACTGATATTTATATCTATCTTAACCAGAAACAAGACCTGATACTTATACCTAAAATGTCCCCATTAGCCAAGTTCTACGTATTACAAGGGTTTTGACCACCAACACTGTTATTCTTCATCAGCAGTATTGGATACTGTTATTGGTGTGAAAATATAAATTAATGCAATACAATAACTTTGCTTAGACATGGATAACTTTTGCTGGCAACTCCTTAGCTGCCAACAAAAGTTATCCATCATTGTTAATGGGTGTGATTTAATTTTCTCAAAATTTGATGTTACTATGATATGTCACTTGTAGAATTTGGATCAACTGAATTCAAGAAGCAATTGTGAAATCTTGTAAAATTTTGGAAAAGTAATGAATTTTTGTTATTGTTAACAGGTGAACCATATGCTAATAAACTTGGATATCACTGAGAACACAGATGAGAAGGACGAAGATACATTACGTAGAAAAGGTATGTACATATTAATTAAATTCCCCATAGTTACACCATGTAGTGAAATTATTATTATGAAGTCAAATAAATTGTGAGACGATAAATAAATTTGCATTTTTAATGCAGATACACAATTAAAATGAGGCTGTGAAAAACCTGGTTAACATTAATCTCAATCAGTTTTCGCTTGTGTGCTTGTTTCAAATGGAGGTTACATCAATGCCAATGGCTGAGATTCAGTTACTAATGTTTGGTGCCAGCAGCCCAGGGGTAGTGAAAAAACTGGCGATCTGAGGGACTATGCATGTCATCCTAATTAATGTCAATATTAGTCAGTTTAATATAGACAGTCAGTGGAATTTTATAGATTTTATAGAAATTTCTGGACCACCTGCCCAGAGTTTTAATTGAGTGGTCAGGGGTATAAGCATGCATAGCCCATCAAACACAAGTTTTGTGAGCGGATGATGCAAGGTATCTGTAAAAAAAAGACAATAAAGCAGTTTTCTCTCTGGTATGAGATTTATCGTTTGTATTACTTTATGACAAAGAGTGGTGGATACAAAATAAAAAGGGCTGTCTTACTTTACTGTCTTCATAAATCAGGCTATTGTGTAACTTATTTAATCGTGTATCCAAGAGAAAATGCTAAAGGTAATATTCTGTGTGCATATGCCCTTTAGTGCTTGCCTTGTCTCCATTAAAAAGGAAAGATACTTTGATAAATTGCGAAATTTATAAGTCTGACATTTTCACAGACTGGCTGCTATGATATTAAACAATGCCCCAGCTTAAGTAATAAATGAAATCATCTCGCTTATTATAAATATTAGTGGCTAGTAGCAATTTGCATACTGAGAGCGGCAATAATTTTACAAAGTTAATGTGCATTATATATGAACCCAAAGTTTTAAATGCTAATTTTTAAATGAATCAGAAACCACAATATTTTTTTTTTATTTCAAATCTTTATCAAAATATTGTTGCTCTTATTAATATTCTACTTTTATCTACTAGCCTGCAAGCATACTTTGCCTCAACAGCAATAGATTTTATAATTATATATAAATGTATATTTCCAGGGCTTCCATATTTATTGATGAAAGAGGCGTACACAGATGCCTTCATTCTTCATGATGAATCACCATACGAATATTACAAGAGAAAAAAAGATGCTGGAGAAGAAGTCCCAACGAAAGAAGAATTTGAGAAACATGCTAAAGCCGAAAACATTGAAGATCCGCGTAAAGAGTTGAATGATACATGGTGCCGTTTTACTAAGTTTCAGCCCCTGTGGAAGATCAGGAATTATTTTGGGGAGAAAATTGCTTTCTACTTTGCTTGGTCTGGCACACTTATTACCACCCTCTGGATTCCAACGCTATTAGGAGTGGCTATCACCTTGTATGGTTTATATCTAAGGTAATTTTCAATTTTATGTCATAATAGTTATGTTATAGATTATAATACATCCCAAGATATCTTATATAGGAGCAAACAAAATTAGAACATTTTCAAGCATTTTCGAGGAAGTGAATGTTGTACAATAATTTGCATTATTTGTAGTGTAATGTGTGTGGTTTGTAGTATAATGCTCATGATTTGTATTATAATGTGCGTAGTATAATTTGCATTATTTGTAGTGTAATGTGTGTGGTTTGTAGTATAATGCTCATGATTTGTATTATAATGTGCGTAGTATAATTTGCATTATTTGTAGTGTAATGTGTGTGGTTTGTAGTATAATGCACATGATTTGTATTATAAGGTGCATAGTATATTTTGCATTATTTGTAGTGTAATGTGTGTGGTTTGTAGTATAATGCACATGTTTTGTATTATAAGGTGCATAGTATAATTTGCATTATTTGTAGTGTAATGTGTGTGGTTTGTAGTATAATGCACATGATTTGTATTATAAGGTGCATAGTATAATTTGCATTATTTGTAGTGTAATGTGTGTGGTTTGTAGTATAATGCACATGATTTGGATTATAAGATGCGTAGTATAAATTGCATGATTTGGATTATAAAGTGCTTGATTTGTAGTGTAATGTGTGTGGTTTGTTGTATAATATGTGTGGTTTGCTATATAATGTGCATGGTTTGATGTATAATATGCATGATGTGTAGTATAATGAACATCGTTAATAACATAAGTCGTGACATTTTATCGCAGTGTTGAGGAATATGAAGCCCAAAAGAATCAAGTCTTCAATTCTACAGCCAATGTAACATTCAACAATACTGTTGGTACAACGCCAGCGTCAGTGGTCGGAGAGTAAGTCTAACTAATCCTCCATTTAAACAGTGAATTTATTATTCATATCTTCTTTGTACTTTCCAATTTATTTTTAGTATGTGTTTAAATTTCTTATTATTTGATTTTACAGGTTGAAAAATTTAGGAATGGACATTTATTCCATAATTAAACAGTCATTTGACAACTCAGTAACGCCGTATTTTTCCATCGTTATCTGTCTGTGGGGTACGCTGTTCCTTGAGATATGGAAGCGTACAAATGCAAGGCTTGCATACGAATGGGACGTGGATAACTATGAGTTCAATGAAATTGACAGACCACAGTTCTATGGTACTAAAGAAAGAGTCGTACGTAAAAAAGACATTTTATTCAAGTTTCCCGGGAGTTTGATTTGAAGCTCAATGGTTCACAGTTTGGATTGTGTTGGCTTCGGTATGAATCTTTTGGACGCCCACCCAGACTTCTTCTCAAATTAAAAATAATTATTTAAGGAAAGAATACTTACTTTTTATTTTGATCTCTACCTTTTACCAACTCAGTACCATGCAGTTTTGTTTTGTGAGTTGTCGTTTTCCAAGGTACTGGAGCTTTTTGGATATTTTCAACTTTAAATAGTAGCCCTAGCTTATTTTTGCTGGCCAATTCAAAAAATTGAGTAACCCAACTATGGAAATAGTTGATAGTTATCACAAGCTAGTAGGAAGAAAGACAAAATACAAAAAATTTCATATGGATTTTGAATTATTTATTTTGAACCATGACAACTTTTTAAGCCAGCTTGGTTGAAATTTGCATAATCAAGATTTATGATTTACTTAAAATTTTACAATTATTGGGAACACTTGTCTCTTGAGTTGGTTCTACTTAATTTTATTGGGGAGTGGGCAAACATTTAACGTCATCATTTAATAAATTCAGTCGCATTAGCGATCATTTTTGTCGTTGTCGACGAGTCCATCTATTTACCTCACTAAATTATCTTTAACTTCTCTCTTCTCCTTTTTAGGATCCTGTTTCTGAGCTACCAGATTGGTACTATCCATTTTACAGACAATTTGTCAAATTCATGATGTCATGTAGTATTATGGTGTTTATGGTAAGTGTTCATGGTGTTTATAGTAAGTGTTCATGGTGTTTATGGTAAGTGTTCATGGTGTTTACGGTAAGTGTTCATGGTGTTTATAGTGTGTGTTTATGGTAAATAATCATGGAGTTTATAGTGAGTGTTCATGGTGTTTATAGTGAGTGTTTATTGTGTTTATGGTAAGTGTTTATGGTAAGTGTTCATGGTGTTTATAGTGATTGTTTATGGTAAGTATTCATGGAGTTTATAGTGAGTGTTCATGGTGTTTATATTTTCAATTTTTTTCAAAATACAAATATCATAACTACAGTACAATAACTATATCTATGTATGATTTCCTGTTGCGTCAATGACTCACCAGTGAATTAGTACAATTAGTTGTGTCATAGCAAATTTGTGTGCGTCAGTGCGTCGCCTTAGAGGACACGCTGACTGTAGGTCATGCCCCTGACAAGTGAGGGTATAAGTATTATTACACATAGACTTAATGAATTATTTTTCTTTGCCAGGTATGTTTGGTAATTGCCAGTGCCATTGGTGTAATTGTATACCGTGTTGTATCCAGAGTGGATTACAGTAACAATCCAATGGAGGAGTTTGTTTACTCTACTCTACTATCTTCTGTTCTCAACTCAGTCTCTATAATGATTATGGGCAAGGTAAATATAATTGTCTATAATTATTATGACATGCATAAAGTAGCTATCTCATCACTGTAACACAAAAAAAGGTTGATTTAAAGTAATTTATTTCATAACAGCAACATCTAATGTACAACATCGTCATTACAATATTTTCTGGTCTTAATACTTGATAAATCACATGCAAATGTAGACTAGATGCCATCTATTATCTTGATAATCTCAAAAATCTATGAATGATAGATTAGTGAATCGGTCTGGAGTGTTGTGGGTGGGCTTTACGTATGAGATCAGTCTGCGCAAGTTCCCATGGTGATGTACTGAACTCATGGAGACAGACAGTCAGTGATGATACAGAATTCTGATGTGTCTACGTATTTACGTACCGAATCACTGGACCATTCTTGAGTGCACTGGGAAGGGCTGGATTCCAGGCTAATACAACTGTAAATGAATACAAAACTGTTTTTGCATGGTGCAGCAAAATTTACAAACTAGAGAAAAATGTACATGAGATTTTTGGATGAAAACTTTTTAAAAAAAATAACTCTCAATGATGTATCTTGCTAATAGTTGTAAATTTCACTCATCAATATTTCATCTTTCCAGACAATATAAATACAGTATATATGTGTATGATAAATATATTTAAATTATTCATTATTCAGATTTTAAAATGTATGCATTATGCTAAATTATATATGTCTACATTGTGTATTAATTTGCTACTGATTCTGTGACATTTTCAATCATTTTCACAACATGATTTTCATAGTATTTGACAAAAAATATACAATAGAAGATAATCATTATTAGACTACCATGTAAATCTGAAGCATCTGAAAAAAAATTTGTTTGTACACATGCACTATGGTAATTAATTGTTAAAACAAGTTTTAAAAAAAGCGTTTCTATGATTTTGCATATGAAAAAAAAAATTTGGAAGTACACTTGGATTATTGTTATGATGTGTAGCTGCAAAATCAGGCAGTATCTCAGCTACAAAAACCCTACCATGCATTACTGGGTAGTCATGTTACTACATGGTTTTTACAAGAATACTGTAAAGTATGCACGAAGACACTACAGCGGGAGTATTGACCGATGCGCAGCGCAGGTCGATGCAACAACGTACTTACTGAGTGCATACTTTGCAATATTCTCATAATAATCTTTTCCACCCAATTATACATCTTGGGAATGCCAAACTCCAGAAACTTTAGAACAGATTTAGCGAACTTCTTTGTGTGGGGTCTGGTCAAATCCTAGGGGCCACCCTGTTTGGGTGCGTAATTGTTTCATACTTGGGAGTCACTTTTCCTAATATGGTAGGATGAAAATACCCAGTAAAATAACGCAAAATTACGGCACGCTGTAACTTATGCCGTTACGGTGACAGATGTATAATAATGTTTGATATTCTGCTGTATTCTTGCGAAAACACTCACATCATATCAATCCATTCATAAACACATGATTTTACTGATGCCTTTAATACGGTGGATACTTTCCTTGTTTTCATGTACACAATGTGAGCCTTTGTGTTCATCCTTTGTATGTATTTGTTTGTGCATCTGTTAAATTGATATATCAATATTCTCAACTATGTTTTCTGTTGAATGTGTCCCTAGCAATCAGAATCATAACATCTGCCCAGAAAATAGTTTTTTTTAAAGACAAAATGATAGTTATATTCAATGAATGATTTTTGGTCATAATAATAACCATAGCAACCAACTCAAAATCTGATATTTCTTCAACGACAATTAACTTATACATAGCTTATACATACATACATATATACAATGTATGGTTGTTTCTCTAGCAACCTACTTGTATCCCTAGCAACCATGCCTGTATCCTTAGCAACTGTACATACCTTTGGTCCCTTTACATAGCTTCTTTACTTTCATCTTTCTTTAATACCGTATATTTTAAAAAAATCGATATTGTATTCCATGCTTGTCATGTTCATTATTTCTGTCTTCTATACCTCCAACACATATCAGTTTTTATCAGTTGCTGAGTACCGAGACAAAATAAGATCTGAATAAAAAATAGAATATCTCTAGGACCTTATTAGTTCTGATGCATTCCTGTATTATTTTAATACTAGTCAGTCATAACATTGTACTGTGTTGTATTTGATTTGACCCTTTGATCTACTCTTTACTCAGTTTTCGCAAATAAGTCCTGTTCAACTGATTGTTGTTTATTGCCTGGGGTTAGTTTGGTCACACCCCTTACTGTGCTATTTCCAGAGGGTTTGAGTGACTATACTATTCACTAGGTTGGAGTGCATTTTATTGGTGTGGTGATCTTTCAACAAAATAATGCGTCTTGTCAAGCTTTAGGAAAAAATTTACTCAGCATTTAGTGCAACACAAAAACGTTGTTAGTGTAAATTTGGCAAGATTGTCTAGTGTGCTACTGATCTTTCAAAGCCATGAGCATTGTGTGGGATTTAAAGGTTATTTTCAGAAATTTATTCTGTCAGTGGCTGATGGTAAACTAGAAGATGTATATCCACATACGTTTTTTAATTTTTTTGTTTGTATATTTTTACAGATTTATGAAATACTGGCCTATAAACTAACTGATTGGGGTAAGCTATACAAATTTTAATTCTAAATTATGGTATGATATTGCTAGATATTTTCTAGAACCACCTGTTGAATCGAAAGCTGAGTCAGGTGAACTGGTTCCTTTTCCTGCTATTTTTGTCCACTTTTACAAATTGTGTATAGACTGAAATATTTTCTAATATGTTTATTTTTGTTTTTGTCTACAGAAAACCACCGTACTCAGACATCATACGATGACGCACTCATAATAAAACTGTTTGCATTCCAGTTTGTCAACAGTTATGTGTCATTGTATTACATTGCATTCTTCAGAGATGTAAGTTTTATCTGTTAATCTCATCCACATCACATTTTCAGCTCAACATTAAACATACATGTGTCCTCCGATATCACACACATTCACATACACATATCTACAGTATCCTACCATTGCAATAAAGAGTTCATTCATTACCATTCCTCTCAACAAGTTCTGACCTTCTCTTCTAGATCCAACAAATCAAGATTTTTTGGATGCTGCCAAATGCTTATTGAATAGACACAGGTCATCAGAGATTTACCCAGTAGTAAAACATGCAAAAATGTCCTTTTTTTTGGAACTATTTGCATAGGAATTCATGTTGAATTAGTGTTCATCAAAATTTTTAAATAATTAGGGACCCATCTTCAAATTACATTACCAGTAATTTATTTTCACCGTATATACCCAAACAAAATTTTGAGATATGAAAAGACGTTTAGGGACCAATAGTTTAAGAATCACTATTTTCATGGCTGTTTTACAAATTTTATGTTTGAAAAGTACTTTGGTTACCATACTTTTTTATCTGGATTTTGAGAGCAACAATAAAGCCAATTCAAAAGTCTAGTTTTAATTACCGGTACACTATGTATACATATATGTTAACACTACCGGTACATGTTGAATCCTCTCCATCCAGCCATTCTATCATCGTATATTTGTTTAGTATTGTGTTTCATATCCAAGAATCTCGTAACAACATAAAGTAGAAAATTTAAACTAACACTTACAGCCATCCATACACTTACCAGGGTATTACTCTATACGTTGTGGGTAACATTGTACATACTGATTGTTATTATATTTTATCTTTTTTTCTATTCCCAAGGATTCCACAAAAGAGCATACACTGTTGGTAAATGCCCTTTGCACTTTCTGTCATCTGTGTGCATAGCTTATAGCTTTGTCATGTTTAAAATGAAAAAGCATGAATTTGTGCTAATTTAGCTATTGTAGTGTGTGTTACTTATATGTACAAGCCCAATTATGAAATGCTACAAAACCTATTGGTGTAAAATAGGTTTCAGTTGCTATGTAAGAATTAGGATTATTCAATTTTGACAAGAAACGCTACATTTATAAGTCCACATGTGTGAATGTTTTTAAAAGATTTCTCCATTCTGCTTCAATTGTTCTGTGCAAGTTATCTGATAAAACTTAACAGTTTGGCATGCATAGCATGGTGCTCTCATGAAGGCAACAAAGTTGTGCATTTTTATAAAATTTTAAATTATGCAATATGCTAAAATGCCAAGCATGTAAGTAATTTCAAGGTTTGTAATTTGTTAATTACAAAGTTGTGCACTTTTATAAAATTTTAAACTATGCATTATGCTAAAATGCGAAGAGTTACTAAACAAGGTTTGTAAATCTGTTTTTCACCATGGAATGTCAGAATGTTTTTACATTTTCACATAAAATTGAGATGATTACATACTCTTGATTGAAATTGGAATCAAGCATGTATAATATAGGGTTCAAAGTTGTAACATGGTGAAAACCCTGTGATCTTGTGATCATGAAATTGAGTAACTGAGAAACTTGCTGTTATTGTGTATGTAAACAAAATCACATGTTTAATATTACGGGTAATTGAACTGAGATGCAGATGGCTGATGAGATCTATTTGCAACACAATAAAACACAGGAAAAGTACCCTAATAGTGAGAATAATACGCGTATAAACATCAATGGAAGTAAAAATCATCAAATATGGCCATCTTTTGGAAAGCTTCCCTATAAATTCTGCTGTGTGATTGCAAGATACCTATTTTAATGATATCAACAAAAATCACAACTCTTTTTTAATGAACAATGAAATATACAGGTAGTAGCATTTCATGGTTGTCACGTGCAGGGGTTTTAGTTCTGGAGTAGGTGACAAATTTGTTAAAGTAGGAAGCCAAAAATTAACACTTTTCTGTAGGTTATGAGTCTTAAAAATACAAAATTGACGACTGAACGAGTAAATTATTAAAATAGTTAGGTATTTAGCCGACAATCATCGTCTCTTAATGAAACCCCTACATGCGAGTTGTCCTATCAAAGTCACATGCATGTCTATTGCACGTGATCTGACTCAGTATGTTATATTCCCTGTAGGAAACTTCAAATGATGGGATCTTAGATTTTGGACCGGAGTATGAAGACACATGTGACAACAACGACTGCATGTCAATGTTATCATTTCAAGTCTTAGTGCTTATGTTGTTGAAACCTTTGCCAAAGTTCTTCAAAGATATTATATTACCGTAAGTATATATACACCATTATATTCAAAACTTCTATTTCTGTGTAGCAGGAGAACTATTATCTGAAATGATCTGTAATATTGGGGTTATCATATCAAATCTGTATTTTTTACAAATTTCACTGGGGTTCATTAGCCTGGGGTGGGGGGTGGGAACAGTGAGAATATAGTGCATATGATTACCTTTGATCAATCCAACACTGTCCCAGTATGTCATTCTCACACTGTTGTTTATAACTTTATAGTTGGTTTATTAAAAACGTCAAGAAATGTCTGCGGAAATGCAAAAATAACAAAGTGGATGAAGCCGAGAAGCCGGACGATAGCACTAAGGTTGAAATGAATGATTTCTTAGAACGAGAACGTCAGAAACCTCCAGTAGGAGACGTTTCTCGTAGTCCACCCGTTGGTGATTTCACACTGATGGAGTACAACGAGAAGATAATCCAGTATGGATACCTTATGGTAAGTAATATTTTGATATCATCATATCAGAGCTTGCGTCCTGGGGTTGATTTTAATGTGTACTGATAATCAGTGTCTCATTGTTTACATATGAATTATCACTCATGGAGGCAAAATGACAGAATTCCAAAATTTGGATATTGGATGTTTGTGCATCAGTGTCAACTTTATGTTTTATGATTTCTT